CAGCTTGCACCCAAGATGTACGTGTCGGCGATGCTTCAGCACATGCTCCCGTCCCGAGGGTCCTCCCCTCCAGCCCCTGCATGCTTTCCTTGCTCCCTGCGCGAGGCGCCACTCGAGAGACGAGCGCCCCGCTGGCCCGCAGCTCGGGCGGGAAAGGATCGGAACTTCCAGGGGCCCATGTTAGAGCATGGTTTTTGAAGGTCTGCGGCCAGGAAGCTCGCCTTCCTCCTCCTCATCATCATCCTCTTCCTCCTCCTCCTCTTCCTCCTTCTCCTCCTCCGCCTCCTCCTCCTCCTCCTCCTGCCCCCCCTCCTCCTCCTCTCCCTCCTCCTCCCCCTCCTCCTCCTCCTCCTCCTCCTCCTTCTCCCTCCCCCTCCTCCTTCTCCTCCATTCCTTTTCCATATACATATCTTATCCCTGGCGCACCTCGAGGCCAGTTTTAGGGCGGGCCAGGCGTTTCGCCTGATATTTCCCTCACCATGTAGGACCTTGAAACTTAAACATTGACAACCGTTTCACTGAATTGAGGGCGGGTGGTTTTCAAAATGTGGTTCTCGCCTTAGCGCCGCGCACACTCGTTTTACAACATTGTAAGAGCTCCACGGAGTGAGATTGTAAGAGCTTCGCGTATTGAGGGCGGTTGTTTTTAAACATGTGGCTCTCGCCTTAGCGCCCCGCGCATTCGTTTGAAACATTACAAGAGTTTCGCTGGGTTATTTGTAATTGTTTGGGCTATTGTCGTTTTTTTCTCCCAAATCCCCCCTGTAGGAGGACAGGCCCAACTTAACTCTGCCTCCCCTCCATCCGATCCAGGCCGCTGCCTGGGAGACGCTCGCCCCCATCGCGGTGGGCCGGCTGGTGGCCAGCCTGGCAGCGATCGAAGGCGGGCTCCCCCCCCCTCCCCCAACGCGCCCAGCCACGCGCGGAGGGGGGCGGGGGGAGCGGGGAGGGCTCCCTAGAAGCACCCCTGCTTCTTAGAATGCGCGGGCCTTATCTGTAGATGGAAGGCCGGCGCCTTCTTAGGAACAGCCTCTTTCCAGGAAGCCCTCCCCTCCCTCCACCTCCTTTCGGGTATAGCCAGGACCCCGCTTAAGGGGAGCCGGTCAGTGCTCGGGCCCCGAAGCCTAAAATACGGACTGGCATCACAAAACCAGGTCTGCTGGTGTTTTTCGGATGGCGGCAGTTCCGGTCAGTGGAATAGGGCGGGGGGGGCGTTCCCCAGTGCACATCACCAAAGCGAGGCAGCCCGCGCGCCAGGGCCAGACTCGCACCAGTGACCACACAGGGGCAGCCACTGGCGGCCGGAGCGACTTGGGAGGAGGAGGAGGAGGAGGAGGAGGAGGAGGAGGAGGAGGAGGAGGAGGAGGAGGAGGGGGAGGAGGGGGGGGAGGAGGACAGCAGGTCCGCAGGGCTTCTCGGCAGGTCCCCCAGGCCCGGGTATCTGCCGACGCCCGAGCATTGGTGCGCGCCGCCCCCCCCCCCCCCTCGGCGGCTCTCGGCGGCTCGGCCCTCGCCCCTCGATGCGCGAGCCGAGGGTCGAGGCTCTCGCGGTGCTTGGACTGTGCCCCTCGGTCGTTGAGAAAGTAGGTATTCTTGGGTGCCCAGATTTCAATCTACTTTGAGCGCCTTCCTACCTCAAGAGTCGAGGGGGTTTCCCTCCTCCCTCCTCTTCAGGAGGCGGGCGGAGCCCCAATCTATTTCCAGCGCCTTCCTGCATCATGTTTCTGCCTACTTCTTCCGGCCGATGGGTAAGCTCCTCGATGCACGATCGAGGGTCGAGGCTCACTGTTTTGAAAGTCGGGCGTGTTATTTTCTACAGGAGGACCTTCCAAGCATGGTCCCAAAAAAGATAGTCTGGGGACGACTTCTGTTTGGGGGGGCACCTGTTTTGATTCTTGCTGAGTGCCTGGTCGCAGTTTTTACAGTTCCTCCCCCAAGACCCGCCAGTAGGGGGGACACGCCCGACCTGGGTGTGGACGCTCGTCGGCGTGGCTGGCTCCCGGCGCGGGCCCCCGTGCCCACGGCGGGGCACCTCGGCGTGGTGGCCGCGGCGCGCCCACCCCGGAGGTCTGGGACTCGGGGCTGGGCCCGAACGGCGTCCTCGGCGATTCCGTGGGCCGGTCTCGTGTCGACTTCGTTTTTTTTGCAGCAGAGGCGGCTTGGAGACAAGAGCGAGGGGAGAACGAGCACAAGACGGAAACGAAAAGCACCGTGTGGGTTCAGCCCTGCTGCGACTGCTCCTCGGCCCGGGCCTCCGGTGCCCCCCGACGGGGGCTCGCAGGGCTCTCGGGGGCGGCAAAGAGAGGGGTAATGACTAGGGTCGTGGAGGACGATCAATGGAGAGGAAGCATGCTGCTTCCAGAGGTCTAAATAATGTTTCAAACATGTTTTAAGCATGTAAAGCCACATGTTTAAAACATGTTTATAATATGTTCTCGACATGTTTAACAAAGTTTTAATTCAATGATAGGACTGTTAGGGTGTCCATTGTCGTGGTTGTCGTGGCTTCCACAAGACTGGGGGCGTTGGATATCATGGCGTGGGCCATGATATTTCCTCAGATTTCATGGCGCCTCTTTTCATTTCTTGACGTTCCTGCCCCCCCCCTGGGCCGCGCACGTGGCGCCAGCCATGATTTGCGCCGCCCCCTTCTTGGACGCCCCCGAGGCTTGCTTCAACGCCTTCGACTCGACTCGACTCGATGTCGATGGCTTTCGGCCCCGATTCGGTTCGACTTGGGATTCCGATTCGGGTGCCGAGCGTTTTTCACGGAAGCCTAATTACTAGCCTGCCGATTTTTTCCGCCGGTTCGATTTCTTCTGGCTTGGTTGCCGATTCCCCCCGATCCGATTCGTTTTCAGGACACAGATAATTGTCGAGTCCCAAGACAATATGGGAAAGTATGGGAAGTTGGGGAAAGACGAACGTGTCAGGAAGTGTCCGGCGGGAACCGTTGTTGTTGTTGTTGTTGTAGTAGTTCGGCGGCCAGGGACCCAATCTGAGCCGGAAGCTTTTTTCGTTTGGGTGCGAGTCCCAGGCGGAGCATTTCAATTCAACCGGTCAGGGGGGTCATCAATATTTACTCTATATACATCAGAACTCAACAACACCGCCACCAACAAAACAATAGCAGCAACAACCATTACAACAGCAGCAACAACAACAACAACGCAACAACAATCCGCACCGCGGAACCCCACTTCAGACCCAGGGACAGTGAATGAGCGTTCGGCCCCCTCCTTCTTCCATCAGGGTGAGGGGACCGAAGGGCCATTCACTGTCCCTAGGTGTGTGTTTGAAGTTGGGTTCCGCGGTACGGATTGTTTTTGCTTTGTTGAACCCCCATTGCTGAAGAATTTGATTGTAGATCCCCCCATCAGGGGCACATAGTGTTTTCTGAGTGGAAGTGCCGTGCCCTTCACGGGGCTCGCACCTGTTTTTTTGTATCAGGGAAGGTCTTGGGTCTCAGAATCGTGTCTTTGGCCCTCGGTTTACAACCACAACGGCTCCCGCCTGATACGTCCTCACAATGTAGTCCCAAATCGCGCCCTCGCGTGGGACTTCCTCGCAATGTATGCAAACATCGCGCTCTCGCGTGGGACTTCCTCACAATTTCTTCAGACGCCGTGTCCTCGACACTCAAGAATCACGCCGCGCCCTCGACACAGGAATCACACTTTCGCTTTGGCCGATGTCACGAGTTACTTGGGAATCGCGCCATCGCTCGAGATTTCCTCGCGATTCATGCGGGACGCACGCTGCAGCAACCCGCCTGCTCGGCTTGGCCGCCTGGGCCCGCCTTCCCGACCCGCCCGTTGGGATCTACCCGCCCGATCTGCCCGTCTGGTTTTGCGTTCCTCCAAAGTTCTTCGTGCATCCAAGCGCTCTTGAGGACAAGAAGGGGCTTCGTTCCTGAATCACGATGCTGATGGTTGTGGCTTGACCGTGCTCTTTATCCCCGAGGAAAGAGAGAGAGAGAGAGAGAGAGCGAGAGAGAGAGAGAGAGAGTGAGGGGATGAGGGGTGAGGGTGAGAGGGAGTTGGGGGTTGGGTTGGGTTGGGCACGCGTGGAGACCTGGTCTAGCCAGGGCACGATTCACCTCATCACTTGGGCCAGGGGACCCCACTCTTGGGCGGGAGGCCCCTGGACAGTCGACTGAGCACTTCCTTCCCCGACTTGGAGGGGGAGGGCGGGCATTGCCTGCTCAGATTCACGGAATTCTCAACGCCGTGGCTACCACATTGGGTACAATACAGCACACCGCGAATTACGTTCAACCTGTGAGAGCTATGCACTCGCGGGAACAAGGGATGCATCAGGGGGGTCTCACGGGCAAGGGCTCTCGGACCACTGCAAGGCCCAGGGAGGAAGCGCCTCAAGAGACCCCTCAAAGGAAACCTGCGCCTGCACATCTGACAGATCAAATTCTCTCCCCTCTTCCTGCACATATGCCCCGCCTGGAGAAGGCGAAGTTGGCGGGTGCCACAAGAGGAGAGGGCGCGGGGCCTGGGCACCGCGCGGCCCACCCGCTGGGCGGCCAGGCGCCTGCAGGAAGTGGCCACCTCCATGTTGGTGGCGAGAAGTCCACACAAAATGGAGTGGGTGAGGTCATCACACTCCTGCACAGATCTGACTACATCCTCGGGGACGGCAGCTGCATCCGCAGCCCATCCTGCAAAGAATCGGCACACCAATTCAAGAAAAACTCATCAGACCCGATGGCGAATTTCTCCTGCATCTCAGGAGAAGGGTGGGACTTGGTCCACAAGACAGTGATCTCGCCAGGGCCCCGTCGATCGATCGCGGCCCAGATCAAGACCCACAGATCGAGCATAGGCGAATGCTGGGAAACATGAGCCCGCGACTTGGACATCGCGCGGCACAAGGGCAGGTAATCAGTATAACACACAATATCTCCAACAGTGTGGTTCAAGACGACCAGGAAAGCGAACAACTCGGCCCTCGGACTGGATTGCTCAGGAGTCGGAAGAGACCCGCAACAAACAGCGCTCAAACATTTTTGCCCTTCCTGTGGTTCACCAAGCCTACATATGGCCCATCCACACCTCCTTAAGCGTTCATCCAGAGCATGCTTCCCTCCTGATCCATCTAAACCCCACTGCCCTCCTTGAATAACCTGCTGCGCTCCGAACAGTCCCCAAGACCAGACTTGCGTGACGGGTGGAGGAACGATCTCCCAAGTACTGGCCGAGGGCGGGAGCCCACGAGACCACAGGGCAGAGTCGGGAGAAGCAGCATCAGCGCGTGCACAGAGATGAGACGTAGTTAATACGGCGGTATTCTGCATACAGCCATTACTAGGACACTTCCAACATCGGTGCTTCATATCCTCCTTCTCATCTGCACAACGCGGGCATTGACCGTTAGAAGCATAACCAGAGTCGTGAAGCCGACCTTCAGGCCAGCAGGCCAGAGGGAGTTGGGGGGGTGATGATGGAGCGTGAGACGGAGTCTGGAGGGCCTCCTCATCGCCCCTTCCTGGTCGAAGTGCGAGAGGGGAACGTAAGGTCTAAGGGGGAGAGTAAGGATGAGAGGGATGGGGGGAGGTTTCTTCCTCTTGCTCTTCGTCCCCTCCTATTGTTTTTCTTGGTCGACCCCTATCTCGTTTGGAGCTCAGCTGGCATGCGTGCCAGTGTGGTGGCACCTTTCCAGCCGTTGCCGAGCCCCGCATCGTTGTTTCTTCGTCATCGTGCTCTTCTCCAGGGATTGGAAAAGGGTGGCTTGGGAGGGGCTGGGAAGTCCGAGCTGACGCGGCCCGATGTTCATTTTTGGAGCTGTGGCGCTGCCGATTTCATATGATTCCGACTCCGTGCCGAGGCAGCCCGACTCGACGCACTTTTTCGTTTCGATCCGACTCCCCGACGCAAAACTCGGTGATCTGATTTTCTCGTCTTGGGGGGCTTCCATGCCGCTGGCCTCGAGTGGGGCTGTCGTCCTCCTTTGGTTGCCTCGTTCCCTCGCTGTTCCCCCTCTCGCCTCTTCTCTTCATGACCGCTCTCCGGCCCCCTGGCCTCCCCCTCCCTCCCTCGCGCCCCTCCCTCTCTCCCTCCGCCCCTCTCGTCCCTCTCCTCCCTCGCCTCCCTCCCTCTGCCCCCGTCCCGCCCTCCCGCCACCCTCGCTCCCTCCTCCCTCCCCCTTGTCCTCCCGCCCTCCCTCCCCCCCCCTCTCCCGCCCTCCCTCCCGCCCTCCCCTCCCCTCCCTCCCTCCCTATCTCTCCTCCCTCCCTATCTCTCCTCCCCCCCCCGCCCCGAGGGGGGAAGAGGGAGGGGGGGGGGTGGCGGGGGGGGGGCAGGGAGAGGCAGAGGCGCTTCCGCTGCCACCCTCGCGCGCCCCGCCCCCCTCTTCCGCTGGTGCCCTCCGCGGGAGGGGCGGCCCCGCGCCCGCATCCCAAAGAAGGCTGCCTCTACGTCTGCGGCGGCTCCGGCGCCGCCCCCGCGGGCAGCGACGAGGCAGAGGGCGCTGAGGAGCCCCGAGCTCTCCCAGCGCCACTCACAGCGACCCAACGTATTGGAGAGATCAAGGCATAGGTTTTTCGCGAAGTTCGGCCTCCATTGGCCCTCGCCGGGTCGCGGGACCGCCAAAAAACGGCTCAGGATGACAAACCGGTCCAGGGGAATTGGTCGAGACTTCCGGGGACCGCGTACTGAAAACATCACGACATCGTGTCTCTGGGTTTCTGCCCCACCTGACAGGTTGGGGCCGTTAGATTTCTGAGGGCGTTCAAGGGGGGGGGCGGTAACTGGGGGGGCCGCGAGTGCTGCCGATTTGGGAACTACTAGGCAAAATGCTTGAGGCGTACCCCTGCGGGTCTGGAAGTCTGGTAATTGAGGCTGGAACGCCCGACCTTTTCCAGCTTGAGCCCACTTTGACTAAGACGCGATCATCCTTAGCTGGCCCGCAGTGACATGGTTCGCACGTGGATGCATTTATTTTTTTAGTCTTGCCAGTCGTGGCTTTGGGCTCGAGCCCTCCGTGTCTCAAGCAGTGCACTGGTGCGTTGTGGGTGAGGTTATTTCCCTGGTGTTGGGTCCTCGTTTTGAAGATACGGTCCCCGCGTGTCTTCCTTCCTTCCTTCCTTCATTCCCCCTTCCTCTCTATTCCCATCATCATCATCATCATCATCATCATCATCATCATCATCATCATCATCATCATCATCACCATCACCATCACCATCACCATCACCATCACTTTCACCATCGCCATCATCATCATCATCATCATCAGCATCATCATCATCGTCATCATGTCATCATCATCATGATCATCAGCACCATCATCATCGTCATCGTCATCACCATCATCATTACCATTATCATTGTCATTATCATTACCAGTATCAGCATCAGCATCAGCATCAGCAGCACCATCATCAGCATCAAAATCAGTATCAGTATCATCATCATCATCATCCTCATCATCATCACCATCACCATCGCCATCAGCATCATCATCGTCATCGTCATCGTCATCATCATCATCATCATCAGCACCATCATCAGCACCATCATCATCGTCATCATCATCACCATCATCATTACCATTATCATTGTCATATTATTATAAGCATTAGCCTCAGCATCAGCAGCACCATCATCAGCATCATAATCAGTATCAGTAACATCATCATCATCATCATCATCATCACCATCATCATCATCATCATCATCATCATCATCACCATCACCATCACCATCACCATCACCATCACCATCACCATCACCATCATCATCATCGTCATCATCATCATCATCATCATCATCATCATCATCGTCGTCACCATATCATCGCCGCCATCATCACCATCACCCCTCACACGCTTCGTGGCCCCGCAGGGAGCTCCGCCGAAGGCCCCAGAGGCCGCGTCCGCATGCGACCTCCCCGACCGACCGCACGTCAGAATCGACCTCACACGCGGCGAGGGCCGCAGCACTTCCCTCGTGCGCCCCGAAGGAAGCTAGGGCTCTGCGCCCGTGCCCACGTCGCGCCCCTCCCGCTCGCTCCTCCCCGCCCCCCCTCCCACTCCTCGGAGCCCCGGGCCTCGACCTCTCCCCGCCTCCTCCCAGATCTGGATCCTTCGATCCCGGGACCTCCTCCTCCTCCTCCTCCTCCTCCTCTTCCTCCTCCTCCTCCTCCTCCTCCTTCTCCTCCTCCCCCTCCTCCGCTGAGATCCGACGTTGCGAACAACTTGCAACATCGAGAAAGACCGCGGCCAGAGCCCCAGACTCCATCTCTCTGCGTCACGTTTCGAGCCGGATCGATCTGTGAGGGTCCCGGGGCTCGATTGGGCGAAGGACGCCTGGGGTGAGACAGTTGCAGCGCCAGGATCCCAGGGTCCTCGACCCCCCCCCCTCCTCGATCCCCCTCCACGATCCTCCTCCTGGTTCCTCCTCCTACAGTCGGGGCCCTGAAGAAGGAACCCTTTGGTTGGGGAGGGGCTCCGCGTTCCGTAAGTGTTTCACAGCTTGCCTCGGGTTTCCCTTATGCTTCCTATAGGACATCGAAGTTTACTTTATGGAAAAAAGGGGCCTCGTTCCTTATTTAGGGTTCCTTAGGTCAACGCCCCGACTGTAGATCCTCTTCGCTCCTCCCCGTCCGTCCGCCCCGTCCCTCCGCCGGAGGAGGCCGGCGCGGAGCCGCTGCGCCACTGCGCGCGCTTCGACCCGGAGGCGAACGGCGGCCTGGGCGAGTGGCGCGGGCCTCGTCGGGGGCGATCGGCGGCGCGCGCCCGTCGTCGTCGTCGTCGTCGTCGTCGTCGTCGTCGTCGTCGTCGTCGTCGTCGTCGACGTCGTCGTCGTCGACGTCGTCGTCGTCGTTGTCGTCGTCGTCGTTGTCGTCGTCGTCGTTGCTCGTCGGTCGTCGCCTGTCGCTCGTCGCTCGTCGCTCGGCGCTCGTCGCTCGTCGTCGTCGTCGTCGCGCGCGTGGACGCTGACGCTGCGGTGGCGCCGGAACCGCGCGGCGGGGTTGGGGGGGGGGCGTTACGTTATGCCCCCCCCGGCCTTTCTGAACCGCGAAGACAGAGACGCGCTCAAGCAGAGCACTGGGGCTTCGTAGACCCAGGCCCCCTCGAGTTGGGAACACAAGCGCGGCGGGAGGTTCTTCGCTATTTTCGACCTCCAGGGGCCCTTGCTGGGCCTCGGGGCCGTCAACCAAAGGCTCTAGGCCTCCCAGACGGGGTCGGAGTAGATGTGGTCGGTGGATCCCGCCGCATCGCCGATGCATCGACGATGCGGCTCGATGCGGAGACCGTGTTTCCACGCGCCGACGTCGCCGATGCATCGCCGACGTCGCCGATGCATCGCCGATGCATCGCCGATGCATCGGGATGCATTGGCGATGCGGCGCGATCCTTCGACCCCATCTACTCGGACCCCATCTAGGAGGCCTCTAGAAAGGCGCATCGTGAGAAGTCGGTGCGGGGCAAGGGGGCCAGACCTCTCGGGGTCGGCGTTGTGAAGATACCACGACGCCATGGGTCTGGGGCGAGGGGGTTGCCTCGAGGTGGGGCTTGGTAGTAGGAGTCGATGAATGGAGAGGAAGCCGGCTGCCAGACAGTTTCCGGATGTCTAAGACTGTTTGGTCTGTTTGGAACATGTTTAGAGAATGTTTTACACATTTTAAACACATGTTTAATTCAATGATAGGTGGCATCGGGCACTCGTACGCAGACCCACTCATGCTCAGTCAGAGCCCCGAATCATCAGGGGTAACTCGGGTCAGGGATAACTCGGGTTCCTTTTTCGGGAATCCAAACCCGACTTACCCCGGACCCGACTTACCCCGGATAACTCGGGCGCCCAACTCAGTTTCGTACGCACCATACTCATACTCAGGCACACACACACATTCAGAACCAGTCACACTCAGAACCACTCACACTCAGACCCACCCACCCTCACATTCATTTGTAACCAGACTCAATCGTACTCATACCCATTCACAGATTCAGACTCGTACTCGTTATACTCATACTCATGCCCACTCACACCCAGACTTACCTACAGTCAAACTCACTTCCACTCAGACGCATATGTATTCAGATTTGCGCATTCTCAGGCCAACCTGTGTTCAGACACTCTCATACTTGGACATTGACATTCACACGCGAACTTGCCCAGGTTCATTCACATTCAGACTCACTCACACTCAGGTCATTCATGCTCATATTCACTCCGTCGTCTCCCCCTTGGTGGTCCAATGCCCCCCTCGCTCTTCCACTTGTGCTTCCCCCATCTCCGCTGGAAGATGCCGTTTGAGCTCATTGAAGTTTTCGCTGTCGCCGTCGTCGTTGTTGCGCCCGTCGTCCACGCCGACTCGCTCTCACACCCAGATGCTCACAGACAGAGTTTTTCAGCGAGAAGCGACAGGAGTTTGGTGTACACATATAGGGAGGTCCACGCAGTGAATACTTATTACTCCGACTGCGCCAACTCCTTCCTCGCCTCCCTCTTTCCTCCTCTTCCCCACCCAGGGTCACACATAGGGCCACTAGTTGTGTTATGACGTGTCGACGATGAGACTGATGATGGTGATGACGAAACGGTGATGGATATGTCGATGATGATGATGTCGATGAATATGATTACAGTGATGAAGCTGATGATGAAGATGATGCTGCTGATCATCATGATGCAGCTGGTGCTGGTGACAGCAATGAGGTTGATGACGGTGGTGATGATGGTGATGTCGGTGATGATGGCGATGAGGTTTGCATTCAGGTTCTGATATGGTGATGATGGCAGCAATGATGGTGTGCATGATGATGATGATGATGATGATGATGATGATGATGATGATGATGATGATGATACTGATGATGATGATGATGATGATGATGATGATGATGATGATGATGATGCTGGTGATGATGGTGGTGGCGGAGCAGATTCTGAGTATGTCTCTGGCGAGGCGCTGGTTTCAGTACCGTTCGCGTCAAACTGGCGGGGGCGTCTTGAGCGGTTTGCCTGTTTGGGTTTCCAGCATCCTCCGCGTTCGGAGCAGATTCTGCGGATGTCTCGGGCGAGGTGCTGTTTTTCGCACACCCAGGGGGGGGGGGGGCGGGGTATATCATTCTTCCGTTCGCGCCCAAGTTGCGGGGATGCCTTGAGCGGTTTGCGTGTTTTGGTTCCCGCATTCTCATCTTTCGGGGCATATTCTGAGGATATCTCGGGCGAAGCGCTGGCCTTCGCACCCCAAGGGGCCCATATTGCCAGGCTCGTCGGTGTCCAGAGCAGGGTCTGAGGATGTCTCGGGCGAGGCGCTGGCTTTCGCATCCCGAGGGGCCCAGATTGCGAGGATGTCCCAGATTCGCTTATGCTCAAACTCACTCGTGCCCAGACCCCCTCGTACTGTAACGCGTACTCATCATACCCAGACTCGCTCACACCCATATGTACGCACACTCAGATTCAGATCCACTCCCACTTAGACGCTGACTCACTCGAAGTCAGACTCACTCGTACGCAGACCACTCATGGCCAGTTTTGTGCTTATCAGATGTCTGTTCAGACGCACTCACACTCATACTTGCTCACGCTCAGAATTACCCACATTCAAACCCATCCACCCTCATATTCGCTCGTGGCCAGACTCAGTCGTACTCAGACCCATTCAAGCTCAGAATCGTGCTCGTTTTATTCATACTCGCACCCACTCATATCCAGATTAACCCACAGTCAGGGTCACTGTCAATCATATTCGCCCATACTCAGGTTTATGCATTCTCAGACCCGCTTGTATTAAGACTCTCATACTTAGACTCACTTGCACTCACACTCAACCGCACCCGGGTTCATTCACATTAAGAGTCACGCACATTCAGATCATTCATTCTCATACAAATTCAGTATTATCCCTTTTGATATGCCCCCTCGCTCTTCCACTTGTGCTTCCCCCATCTCTCCTGGAAGATGCCCACTGAATTCACTGACGTCATCGCTGTCGCCGTCGCGTCGTTGTCGCGCTAGTCGTCCACGCCGACTCGCTCTCACGCCCAGATGTTCACAGACAAAGTTCTTCAGCTAGAAACCACAGGAGTATGACAAGCACATATGGGGAGCTCCACGCAGTGAACAATTATTCCGACCGCGCCGACTCCTCTCACTCACTCTCTTCCCTCCTCGTCCGCCTTTTGCTTAGGATTACTACTGATGTAACTCGTGATGATGACAGCTATGAGATGCGCTGGTTCCAGCACCCCGAAGGGGGAGCCGCCAGGGGAAATCTCAATCCTCCGCTCGCGCCAGAATTGTGGGGATGTCTCGAGCGGGGTGCCTGTTCTGGTGTCCGACATCCTCCGTTTTCGGAGCAGAGCCTGAAGATGTTTCGGGCGAGGCGCCTGTTTTCGCTCCCCATGGGCCGCCAGGGAGTATCTCACTCCTTCGTTCACGCCCAGAGGGTTGGGATGTTTTTGGGCGTTTTGCTCGTTTTGGTTCCCAACATCCTCTGCTTTCAGAACATGTTCTGAGGATGTCTCGGGCGAGGCGCTGATTTTCGCACCCCTGGGGGCACACATTGCGAGGACGTCTCGAGCGGTTTGCCTGTTCTGGTGGCCGGGCTCGTGTGCAGTCAGAACAGATTGTGAGGATGTCTCGGGCGAGGCGCCGGCTTTCGCACCACAGGGGGCCCAGCTTGTGCGGAGGTCCCAGGGTCAATGATGCTCAAACTCACTCGTGCTCAGGCTCACTCATGCCCAGACTCGTACCCATCATATTCATAGGCAGACTCATTCACACCTAGACACGCGCACACTCAGACTCACTCGCGCTTGGACCCTCCAGGCTCGTTCAGGTTCAGTTTCGTGTTCATCATACTCTTACCCAGGCCAACTCACCCTCATACTTACTCATGCTCATAATCACTCACACTCAGACCCACCCATCCTCAGATTCACTCGTGGCCAGACTCACTCGTATTCAGACCCGTTCAGACTTAGAATCGTACCCGTTGAACTCATACTCATACTCACTCACACCCAGGCTTACCCACAGTCAGATTCACTCTCACCTGGACTCACGCATGCTCAGATTCACGCATTCTCAGACCAATTCGTATTCAGACTTTCTCATACCTACTAGAATCACTTGCGCTCATACTCAACCATACCCGGGTTCATTCGTTTTCAGACTCACGTATTCTCAGACCCATTGGTGCTCAGACTGTCCTTATTCTTGACTCATTGACAGTCGCTCTCAACCATGCCCGGGTTCATTCACATTCATTTAATTCACGCTCAGATCGTTCATTCGCAGATTCGCTCAGTCTTCTCCTTCTGGGTGGTCCAATGCCCCCTCGCGCTTTCACTTGTGCTTCCCTCATCTCTCCTGCAAGAGGCCCATTGAAGTAACTGAAGTCGTCGCTGTCGCCGTCGTCGTTGTCGTGCCGTCGTCCGCGCCGACTCGCTCTCACACCCACATGCTCACAGACAGAGTTCCTCAGCGAGAAGCGACAGGTTTATGATATGCACATTTGGGGGATCTACGCAGGGTCTATCTTCATTTTTCCCCCAAATCCGCCTGTAGGAGGACATGCCCGACCCAATGCTACAGTCGGGGCCCTGAAGAAGGAACCTTTTCGTTGCGGAGGGACTCGGCGTTCCTTAATTGTTCCACACCTTGCCCAAGGTTTTCCTGATGTTTTCGATAGGAAATCGAAGTTTAACTTGTGGAAAAAAAGGGGCCTCGTTCCTTATCTAGGGTTCCTTAGGTCAAGGCCCCGGCTGTACTGCTACCTTTTCCCTCGTTCTCCTTTTTGTTCGGCCTCCTCGGAGGCCCTCGTCTCCACCGCTGGCTTCGCTCCAAGCTTCTGGTCTTGAACGCATCCCGGGCCCCTGGAGGGGTCTGGGGAGCAGCGGTATCGGCACTCCGTTGCCTCCTCATCGAAGCTCTTCCTGCCGAGGCCTCAGTTCAACACGTGTGTATCCACTGCCCAGGGGCAGATGAGGCCCCCAGCCCCTGGGGTTCCCGTGTCTCCCTGTCCATGTCCACCGCCCCCTGGGTCCAGGAGTAACAGCTCCCCATGCGGTTGATGTGTAGGAGTCCGTCCTACCCATAAGGAAATGATGACGATGGATCACGCTGATGTTGACGATTGCGATCATGAGCATGCTGATGGCAATGGTTGAGGGTGATGTCGATGCTGATCAAACTGGTGATGATACTCATGATGCTGATGATGGTCATGGCGATGCGGATGGTGACGATGATGTGGCGGAGGAGGTGGTTGAGGGATAAGGAGAGCATGGGGAGGAATGGGTGTAGGGACAGGAAGAGTAACATGAGGAGGGGGATGAGAGGAGTTCAGGAGAAGGAGGAGGATGATATGAGGGAGGAGAGAGTAGGAGGAGGGGAAGGTGGAGGAAGAGGAGGAGGAGGAGGAGGAGGAGGAATGCATCAGGAGCAGGCCTGGCGCGCAAGCATCCTGCTGCGCCTCCGCCTGGCGGCGGCCCTGAACGCTGCGCGCGTGGCTGTCGAGATTGGACTGGTTCTTGATAGCGACTTTGAAACATAACCCCCATCCCTGGGTCTGGCATCACCTCACCTCGAGGCCGCTCTTGAGGATCCCCTCGGTTTCTGAGGGCATACCCCTAAGATGGTCCTCGCGTTTTGCCCGCCCCTCTTGGGGATAGGGATAAGACCGAGGCTGGTTATCTTGAAGGTCGAACAAGATACAGCGCCGGTTTTAGTCCATGCTCCGCGTGCCTACCGTGTATGAAACATAGAGGGTTGATGAGTAAATGCAAGGATCAGTTTTTGCATTCATTTGTTCATGAGTTAGTCATGCATTAAACATCACATATTTAAACAGCCACATAAAACAGCATCCTATGTATTAAAGACTGCCCTGCATCCTCGAGCCCCGCAGGGCCGACCCTCGGCCCGCCGCCGGGCGCCGAGGCAGGACCTGCCGCCCCTGGCGGACGCGCGCTGCAGCGCGGGGGCGGCCGTGCTGGGCGGGGCGCTCTACGTCTGCGGGGGCGAGGCCGCGCCGCGGCGGCGCCGGCCGGCGCCCTCCGACGGGGGTGGGCCAGACGTTAATCAGGAGGGGAAAAACACACAGACACAATTAATCGGCGATTCCAAGAAAATATGGGAAAATATGGGAAGTGGGGTGGAAGACAAAAACCCAGAAAATATGGGAAAATATGGGGGGTATTTTTATTTGTGTGTATTCATTTGTGTGTCCCAGTTCCCCTTCAGTTAAGAGCGACCCTTCGCCGAAGTGACCTTTGGGTGCGCGCTCATCGGGAGCCTTGAGACGGGGGTCAACGCGGACGGGGGTCAGCCAGAGCGCCCCGACCTTGCAGGATCCTGCAGGGCCAGGGTCGCATCGACCCGGGTTTGGGTGCAGGATCCTGCAGGATTTTGCAGGATCCTTCGCATGGACCCGGGTTTGGGTGCAGGGTTTTCCAGGATTCTGCAGGATTCTGCAAGGCCTGACTGACCCGGGTCTGGATTGACCCGTGTCAGAGGACCCCCGACGCTCACTGGGGTCCCCCGACCGCCGCGCTCGTTGCGATATTGGCGTCTTGCGCGCTTGTGTCTGGCCTCCTCGCGCCCCCCCCAGAACGCCGCGCACCAGAGGTCACTCCTACCCAGGGTCACTCTTACGTGCAGCCGAAGGGGGCAGCGAGGGCCATCGGTCGTTGAAGGTGCGGCGGAGGCCCATGCCAACAGAGACATCCTGCTCGCCTCCAGGGTGCCCCGGGTTTCTTTGGTTTCGTTGGTTTTGCCGTGGAAAGCGTGACGCTCCCGCACCAAAAATCGATGGACGTCCTGGGGTCTCTGGGAAGGTTACTTGTAGAAGGTTTCATGTGGACTGGCCTCTGCTGTATGTTTGGATTCCCAGGTCCCAATCTACTTTGGGCGCCTTCCTACTTCCATGATCGGGTGGCTTCCCCTCTTCCGTCCTCCCTGGTGGGGCGGGCGGACCCCCCATCTATTTTCAGCGTTTTACTACTTCCTGTTTCTGCCTACCTCTTCCGACCGATGGGTAGAAGACAACGACACCCGGACCAGGAAGAGGAGGAGGACGAGGAGGAGGAGGACGAGGAGGAGGAGGAGGAAGAGGAGGAGGGGAGGAGGAGGGGGAGGGGGAGGAGGAGGGGAGGAGGAGGAGGGAGGAGGAGGGGAGGGGGGGAGGAGGAGGAGGGGAGGGAGGAGGAGGAGGAGGAGGAGGGGGAGGAGCGCATCTCAGGGGCAACGATTGGGGGGGATAGACACAGAGGGGGACACTGCCGTCACTGCGCCCTCGGCCCCTGGGATCCCAGCGTCGCAGCCTCTCTGAAGCGGGCAGTGCTGTCTCGGTTTCGGGGCCAGGGTGAAGTCGGGCCTGCCCTTCTACAGGAGGAATATTCAAGAATAGTCAGAAAAGAGTCCAGGGACGATTTTTGAGTATTTTTGATTATCTTTGAATCTTTGTTTGCATATATTTCCCAACATGCTTAGTGGGGTCATGGTCCCTGCCGCGTCGCACCCGCGTCTCACACCCGCACACACGCACACACCTCCCTCTCCTCACACAGCGCAGCACATCACAGCACAGCACACGACAGCACAGCACTGTACAGCACAGCTCAGCACAGCTCAGCTCAGCTCAGTACAGCACAGCACAGCACAGCACAGCTCAGCTCAGCTCAGCTTAGCAGAGCACAGCACAGCACAGCACAGCTCATCTCGGCACAGCACAGCACAGCTCAAGTCGTCCAGGGCATAGCAGGCGTGGCATTTTCTGACACCATAGGAGGTGCGCAGGGGGTGGCCTTTGAGCGCGGCCGCTATCCGAGACGGTCGTCCAGGGCATAGCAGGCGTGGCGTTCTCCGACACCATAGGAGGTGCGCAGGGGGTGGTCTTTGAGCGCGGCCGCTATCCGAGACGGTCGTCCAGGGCATAGCAGGCGTGGCATTTTCCGACACCATGGGAGGTGCGCAGGGGGTGGTCTTTGAGCGCGGCCGCTATCCGAGCCGGTCGTCCAGGGCATAGCAGGCGTGGCATTTTACCGACACCATAGGAGGTGCGCAGGGGGTGGTCCCTGAGCGCGGCCGCTATCCGAGACCGTCGTCCAGGGCATAGCAGGCGTGGCATTTTCTGACACCATAGGAGGTGCGCAGGGGGTGACCTTCGAGCGCGGCCGCTATCCGAGACGGTCGTCCAGGGCATAGCAGGCGTGGCATTCTCCGACGCCATGGACCATAGGAGGTGCGCAGGGGGTGGTCCGTAAGCGCGGCCGCTATCCGAGACGGTCGTCCAGGGCATAGCAGGCGTGGCATTCTCCGACGCCATAGAAGGTGCGCAGGGGGTGGTCTTTGAGCGCGGCCGCTATCCGAGACGGTCGTCCAGGGCATAGCAGGCGTGGCATTCTCCGACGCCATAGGAGGTGCGCAGGGGGTGGCCCTTGCGCGCGGCCGCTATCCCAGACGGTCGTCCAGGGCATAGCAGGCGTGGCATTTTCCGACACCATAGGAGGTGCGCAGGGGGTGGTCCCTGAGCGCGGCCGCTATCCGAGCCGGTCGTCCAGGGCACAGCAGGCGTGGCAGGCGGGGCCCCCGTCCCAGCAATGAACGCCTCGAGGTCCTCCAGGTCTGCGGCCAGACCCATGCAGTCGCCCTCCTGGACCCCGGCGCCGATGGGGACCTGCGAAGGCACAGCAGCTGCAGGGCCATCACCTCACGCAGGATGGTCCGCCTCAGCGGGCCCAGCCTCGGGAGAAACAGGTGCATCCACAGCATCGACGCGTCGCGGTCGGTCCCGATCCTGCTTGGCCGCGTGAAGGGCGCGTAGGCCTTGGATCGCCGCATCCAGCTGGTTGTTTGTGGTGCCGCCGTCGCCGAGCCCCTGGGGGAGGGAGCCGAGCTTCTCGGCCGTGACGCCTGTGACCCGGCGCGGGCGAGGAGGGCTCTCCGCGCTCTCGGGCGCCCGGGGGACGAGGGAGGCCGCTTCTGCTCTGCTCCGCCGGAGTGTCCTTCAAGCAGCCTCCGTCGCTTGGATGATCTTCAGCTGGTCCAACTTTGGGGGCGGAAACGAGGGGGGTGATGACTGGGGGGGGGGTGGATCTCATGGCGTGGGCCATGATATCTCCCCAGATTTCATCCTCTTCTTGTTTCATTGCGTCCCTGGCCCCCCCGCTGGGCCGCGCACATGCCGCCGGTCATGATTTGCCCCCCCCCCTCTTGTACACCCCCCTCTTGGCCGCTCCCGATGCAAGCAGCCCCCGTCGCTTGGATGATCTTCAGCTGGTCCAACTGCTTCGCGCGAAGAACCTCCATCTGTTGCACAATCTGCGCCATACAGGCGGCGAGTTTCCTGCAAGCAGCCTCCGTCGCTTGGATGATCTTCAGCTGGTCCAACTGCTTCGCGCGAAGAACCTCCATCTGTTGCACAATCTGCGCCATACAGGCGGCCCAGATTAGTAGGTCGACCCTGCCAGATCGAGGGTGCCCTCGTGTCTGGTGTCTCGCGACCCGTGCCTCCTGCAGTTCTTTGGCACCGTGGCCCTCGGAAGGGTCTTGTGTCCTCTCGCGTGTCCTCTCCAATCAGGAGGGGGAAAACACACACAGACACAATTAATCGTCGATCCCCAGGAAAACATGGAACATATGGGAAGTGGGGGGAAGACAACCACCCGGAGAACATATGGGAAAACATGGAGAATCGTTTTATTTGTGTGTATTTGTTTGTGTGTCCTGGGGCCCCTTCATTTGTGTCCTCTCGCGTGTCCTCTCCAATCAAGTCTCGGGTCGGGCGAAAGGGGGGGATTGGGAAAGGGGGGGTTACGAAATTTGCTGCATGCAGCTGGTTTCGGCCTCACCGAGGGGCCCATTCCTCGATACATGGCCGCCTCCGGCGCCGGGAGGCGCCGGGAAAATCAGCTACGTGAGCTGATTCTCAAACCCCCCCTTTGCTATCCCCCCCTTTCGCCCGACCCGAGAATCCCCAAAAAGGTCACCGCTGGGTTTGGGGACGCGGGGTCACCACCGGGTTTTGTGGCTCCTGGACCCACCAGCGTCCGGGACATCCTCGGAAGACCGCACGAGTCCCCAAACCGGGTGGTGACACCAAATCGCCCGAGACTCACCGCCAGATGTTGTCACCACCACGTTTGGGGACTACCAAGAGAAGTGCGCGGGGGCCAGGAGGGCGCCCTCCTCGGAGTCCTTGACTCTGTTGCATCTTCGGGGGACCTCGCCTGTCCCCAAAAAGTTGGTGTCTTTTGGGGGGCCCGACGCGTGCTCGATGCGGACTCGACGCGGATTTGGCGTGGATTCGACGCGGATTCGACACGGATCCGACGCGTCCGACATGGATTCGACACGGATTCGACGCGGACAGGGCCGCGACGGGACAGACAAGGTCCCCCGAGGATGCAACATAACCTTGGTGCGAGAGAGGTTGTCGTCGATCTCGGTGATGCGCTCCCTCTTCTTCTGCACTGCGTCGGCCCCAGAGGCCCGCGCGTCCGTGCCCATGGCGCCGCCATCCTCGACGTCCGCCCTGGCCAGCCTCGCCTTGGTCTCGGCCAGCTCCGTCTCGAGCTTGGCAATGGCCGATCGCTGTAGCAGCTGCCAAGGCGCGTCGGTGAGCGTACCCGTGGCCGAACTGCCGCCAGCCCCCACCTTGCTCGGAGGCCCTGGGGCAGGGCGGGGACAGGGGAAAGCGACACCTTTTGCCAGCCCGCATTTCGAACACTTGGTAGCACCACCGCGATTCCACCACGCCAGCCCTGAGGTCGGACGCTTGCACGTTCTGCAACACCATGCCGTCGCCATGAGGGCGCGCCTCTGTGCCTTTTTTCGAGTTGCCTGAGGCCGCGTTCCCTCCGCCTGCTTTGTTCGCCATTCCACCGAGACTGCCAGGCACAGCAGGATGGCGGCTGTACACCAGCCACGTGGAAGAGTAATCGTTACTGCGCTTCCGTGGGAGCAGGAAAGACTCGCAGCAGCACTCGGCCGTTCTGAAGGTATGCCGTTGCAAGCACATGCCAC